ATATATATAAGGAAAAAAAAAATATATATATAGATATTTATATATATATATATATGAATATACATATATATATAAATTCATTTATATCTATATTTATATATATTTTTATATATATATTTATTTTATTTTTATTTTTATTTTTATTTCTATTTTTATTAATATTTTTTTATTATTATTATTATTTTTAAACTCTTTTAATATTTTCTACAAATAATAATTTTTTTAACTAGATTTTTTATATTTTCAACAAATAATAAATTTTTTACTTTTTATATTAATATAATTTTTAGATAATTTATATTAAAAAACAGATCAAAATGTTAAAAATAAACAATAATTTTAAATTATCAATTAAAAAAAGAAAATTTAATACACAAAAAATATAAAAAAAAATTAAAATTTCATATTTATTTTTTAAACTATTTTAAACAACCTTTCAATTCACATATAGTATTTATCATAAAATCATGACTAATAGTACTTAAAGTGGAATTATTTTATAGACTTATAGTCGATGCACTAGTATAAGTTTTAATATTAGGTAATTTAAAAGCTCCGGTTTTATAAATTTTTTCGGGATTTTAATAAAATTAATGATTTTTTTTATTTTTGCTATTATTTAATTAAGTATTATTTTTAGTATTATTAATTTAAACTTTAGGTATTTATTTTAAATCACCTACAGTTTTTTATATTTTATTAATTTTATTTAAAATTTATTTTTATTCTTCTTTTTTTTACTCTTCTTTCTTTTATTTTTCTTCATACTAATTTTAATCTTTTTCATTCGAAATTATATCATCATGTTTCGGATAATTTTCTTTAAAAAAAGAACTTTTTTTAGATTAACTTATATTTATTTCATTATTATTTTCTATTTATATTTAAGAATTATTAAGCGTTTCTCTTTTCGAAGTAGTATTTGATAAATTACTTTATTATTTAAATTATTATTAGGTGGAAAAAATCTCATTTTTCTAGTTAAAATAAGCGCCGTTTTTCAATTAATTTTACGATATCTTCTACTATCTAATAAAATTAGTTTCCGAAAAACAACTTGTATATTCCAAAAAACATTAATCACAGACTTAAGTAGTAATCTGTAACCAACTAGAGTTTTTTTTGAGTTTTCTATAACTTTCTAAAGGAAGATTTCCCCATAATTTAATAATTAATGGAGGAATAAGGTCTAAATTAATTTTATTATTTTATTATTCTTCATTAAGTTATTTAAGAAGTGTATTTAATTCATCATCTTAATTTAACTATGAAACTTGTTGCTAAGAAGAGTATTTTTTTAACAAACTAGATTTCATTTTATATTAACTATTATTATTTTCTCTTATTTATTTTCTTTTTTATTATTCCAAAAGCTCTAAAATATCCAAAGGAAGTACCGTCTTATTAATTTTTATACTTTTTTTCTCAAAAGACTATATAATATTTGAAATTTTCAATTCATATAAATCATCACATTTTTTTTCGCAATTAAAACAAAGTTTTTTCATTTAATTTTTTTTTTTTTTTTCAAACTTTTCTCTATTTCTGTTAAAAAACCTCCCTTTATTTACACAATTCCAGCTTTTTCCCTTACATTTACTTTTTTTTGACTTTCCCCCATCTTCATTAAAGGCGAAATAACTCTCAAATTAGTTTTTGTGCTTAAATTTCCTTCCAAAAACCTCTCTCTGATTTTCAAATTAGTACAAAAAAGAAGCCAAATCCTATTTTTATCATCCAATTTAAAATAAAGTACCATCCTAGATATTTAAATATTCCCTCCTGAAATATCCTATATATGCTTCACTATATTCACACATATTTATTCCAGATCAGACGATAAAATAGGCGATGTAATACTATCTTAAACTGATAAATATTCTGGGCCTTCAAATGTACAAAGTTTTTCATATTAATCTACTTTTGGATTATGGAAGTCATTTATGTTTGTTTTTCTATATAAAAGACAGAATTATGGAGACCAAGAAACTTTTATTAAAGAATTTCGTCCTCCTTTTGGTTAGAGGAATTTTTGTAACATTCCGTTTAGGCTCTTTTCCCGTTCTTAGAGGAATTATTGAAATTATTCTTGGTCTAAATATTCAAATGAAATCATCTCTTGTTCAACGTTTTGCTATTAGTTTAGTTATTGCTTTTATTCTTCGAAAAAATTAGCTGATGTTTATTAGGCATTCACTGGTATATTTTAAGAAATTAAATATTATGCTATTATGTTTTCTTCAGTTGTGTTATAAGTAAATATTTCTTTTAGGTTATTCGAATCTATTCGGTCTTTGGTTTTACGAATTATTTGGCCTTCACGATTTGTGAAGTACCAGAAATATGGTTAGGCCCATCTATATATTACTGTATCTGGTAAAAATACACCGGGACAACTGGTCCCGGTTTCGGAATTTTTTTTCCATAAATGGAAATATAGCCATTCTGTTGATGTTAATAATTTCATTTTTTTTTTTTTATTAATAAATAATGAATAAAATATTTATTTTGTTTATATAAAATAAATATTTGATTTTTATTATTTAAAAAAATTTTAATATATATAACATATTAATTTTATTATTATTATTTTATTTTTTTTATTTAATTAATTTATTAATTTAAAACGAAAATTAATAAAAGTTTTATTCAAATATGAAAGAGTTGCCTTTAAATCATTAATATTATAATTATATCTTTATTTTATAAAAACGCAAAAAAATTAAAGACTAAAGAAAATTCATAAAATTTATTTTATTTATTTTTTTAATACAATTAATTTTAATTTAACAAAACAAAAAGATATTCAACAAATATTATGCTCATAATTCTATTTATCACTAGAAGATTAATTGAAGGAATCAATTTGTTATAAAATATTGTCAATTTTATCTATACTTTATTTTTTCTCATTTTAATTATACATAATAAATGAAATAGGTAAATTATTTTTTTATGTTTTGTCTGTTGAATTATGATTAAAAATTTAACTAATACTATTAAAAGTATTTTCAATTTTTAAAAGGGGAGCCTATAAATTTTACCTTTCCGTTTATTTTTATTATATTTCTTTGATTTTCCTATCATAATATAAATCATCTTAAGAAAAGTTCAAAAATTAATCTTTATAAATCTAAGCATCAGGTAAAAAAACATAAACTCTATTCTATAAATTTAACATATTAGGAAAAACTTTCTATTCACATGATTTTGAAGCACGTTCTCTTTTAATAATTTCACTTCTAGTTGCATTTTTTCTCATTTAAAATTCTTTGAAAACATCTTTTTTATTGTCCAAAAAACTATAATTATATAAAGAATTTTTCTCTTCATCATAATCATCATCGGTATCGCTTTCACTTGAAATATCGCTTGGTTTAATATCATCTTATAATAGTTTCTATTATATCTAATAACTGTATTTTAACCAACTCTTAAATGCCATTCCTACAAAAAGTCTTGTTACAATAGGATTTACGCCTGCAATTTTATTAGTATTTATTTTTATTTGCTTGGCAAAATTTTACTTTTTTTATTATTAATTTTTCTTTTTAAATATATATATATATAGAGATTTATTATAAAAAAATAATAATAAATATATATATATATATATATATATATATATTTATTATAATACATATTTATATTTACTTTTTTTTTATTAAAATAAATTTTTTTAAAAGTTGATTTTTCTTATTTTTTTATCAATTCAATTCCTTTTATATATTTATTTGCGTATTCTTTATTTATTAGTATTTTTTCTTAGTTTTCTATATCAAAAATAAAATTATTTAGTGCGTATTTTTAGATAAAAAACATAAGTTCATTATAGTAAACATATCCATCTTCATAATCATACAAAATATTCATTTACATTATATTTTTGGCAGCAATTTATTTCTATTAAACTTTAAATTTTTCTATCTTGGCTTCCAGTTCTTCTTATTTTATATTTTTTTGATGTTCTTTTATTTTATCTCTGAATTAATTTTTCTTCTCCTCAATATCAAACCCTTAAGGCCCTTTCAATTCCAAATAAAAATCAGTTAAAAACCTTTAATTTATTTTAATTCCATTGTTTTATTTCGTATATTTAACCCAAACTGTTTTAAAATTTTCCTCAAATTCTTAAAATTCATTTAATGGATTTTCTGTGTTTATATAATTTTATTCAAACTAATCAATAATAATAAGTACAAACAAATTCATCATAACAAACTAGACAATTATTATATAAATAACAAAAAATAATATTGCCCAATTATTTCCTTAATTAATGCAATCAAACATATATAAATACCAGTTTTCACCAGTACTACATATAAATAACAAATTTATCGATTAATGAAAATTAGAAAAATTTCTATTACTAGTAATAATTGTCCCTTCTCTAAATATAAATACAATAATATAAAATAAAAAAAATAATTCAATTAAAAAAAAATTATCAATTAAAATAATATATAATTATATAAATAAATAAATATATATAATATATAAAATAAATATATATTTATTAATTAATTATTTAATTTTTATATATGTAATTTACTTTATATTTCCAAACATAAAATTAGCTAAAATTGCAAATATAAAATAAACTAAAAACAATAACGATGTTACATTTAATAAAGAAGGTAATGAATAAATCGCCGTTTATATAAGTTTCTATAAATCCTAAAATCGTTTTATCAATCTAAATAATCTTGATACTTTTAAAACTCTAAAAACTCTCGCAATTTAACTTCTTACCATTAAAAAATTTATAAAATTATTTCCTATAAAGCTCATTATAATATCCAAAATACTAGTCATAACTACAAAAAAATCAAACTAATTCCAACCTTTATAAAAATATCCTCTAATTCCATAAGCTATAATTTTTAAAAGAGCCTCCATGATAAATGCACTTGTAAAAAAAGTATTAATAGTATTTAAAATATATTCATATTAAACATTCTAATTCTCATAAACCATTGCCATAGTGATAATATTTAAAATAATAAACACCATAATCACACTTTCCAAATATTTATTTTCACAAAAACTCCAGACTAAAAGCTAATACTTATTATCTGGAGGTTTTATACTTAAATAATCTAATGTGCTTTTGACTAAAAGTCTCTATAATTCAATCCATTAAGCTTACCCATCTGTTAAGAAAGCATTCTTAGACTTTTTTGCTGCTAAATTATAATTAAAAGACATAATAGCTACGAACAAGTTTAATAAAAAAAGACTTCCTATAAGTATAAAAACGGCAAAATAAAGCGCAAAATAAAAACTATTGTTCTTTAAAGGCCCATTTTCATCTGAATCTATAAAATAAAATAAATAATTAGGCCATCCTTCTATAGTTGAAAGCACAAACAACGTCAACATACCACTTCCTATATTATCAAAATTAATATCTCGTACCATCCATTAAGCACCCTCTATTTATTCACACTGATTTTTGTGTATTTCATATATAGAATTATTTAATACGTTATAATTTTTGGGAAAATTGCAATAATAAAGTTTACCTTTCATTAAATTAATAGCCAAAATTGCAAACATAATCCAAACCAACAAAAGGACTATTATTACATTAAAAATACCTCCTATAGACTCCAATAAAGCTGTTACAATTAGTTTCATAGATCTATTATGGGAAATAAATCTTAAAGGCCTTAAAGTTCGCAAAAGCCTTAATATTTTTACTACACTTAAGTTTATGGATTCTACACTAATGTCTATAATGCTTGAAATTACTATGAAAAAATCCAATTATGACCACTCTTCTCTTAAATAGGAATTCTTATTAAATAAAAAACCAAATGATATTGCTTTCAAGAAAGCTTCTAAGGTGAAAAATACAGTAAAAATAATATCAATTTTTTATGATATATATACTTATTATAAATCTTAAGGATTAGAATTATCAAAATATGTATCAATTACAAGTTTTATAGAAGTTTAAAATATAGCACTTTAAAAAAAAATAATGATAAAAAATATTATATGTAAATATATATATATTTATATATATATAAATATATATATACATTTATATTTATAATTTTACATTAAAATAACAGTTTCAAATTTTGGATGTTTTACAATTTTATAGCATAGAATTCTGAAATGATTTTATTAACTGAAAATAAAAAAAGCATTTTCACATTCAATATCATAGAAATCTTATTTATTTTAACTATTAAATTTATAATTATTATTATTAATATCTTATAATTATTATAAATGCCCATAATCATCTTCATCTATAGATTGCTACCTTTTATAAAACTTTTCTTCATTTATTAACATATTCTTAATATTTGCTATTGTATTTTATCCAAAAGATTATTAAAAAGCTGAATAATTTAAATTAGTTATAGTTTAATTCTAATAGATAGCCTCATCAGTCAGATTATTAAAATCTATATTTTATCCCACTTCAATTCCTTAAAGATATTCTTCAGTTTCTTCTTTTAGTTCTTCTTAATTGAAAGAATCCATGACAATAGCCAAAAGTAAATTCAAAAGCACATAATTTCCTATGAATATCCAACTAATTAAAAACAATAGAGAAATCCCAATATTAGCACTAGAAGTAAGACACGAAACCTCCACATCATTCCAATTTTCAATCGTCATCAATTAGAAGACACTCAATGTAGCTTCAAAAAAATTATTGAAATTCATTCTTCCACTTTTTTATATATCAAAACTTCCTCCAAAAATCTACATTCCGAGTAAAGAATAAATGAATATAAATAAAAAAAGCAACAAAAGAATATAAATAAAACTTGATATATTACTCGCTATAGCCGCCATCATTATTTTCATAAACTATAAACTCCTCACAAGCCTTGCAACTCTCAAAACACGAAAAACCCTTAAAATTCTTATACTTTTAAAAGCTGTAAACTTACTTGAACCTCCTACAACTTCTCCATTCAACATTAATAATTCAATCAAACTTAAGCAAACTATTATTGCATCGAAAATATTCATTCTATCACTTATATATTCTAATATACCTTCTCCTAATAGCTTTAAACACATATCTATTGTGAAAATTATAGTAAAAGAAAAATTAAATTAATTTAAAATTTTTTCCCCTTATTCACTTAATACACCATCGAGTGTGAGTACTATGGTATTTATAACTACACATAGCATTATAAAATTATCAAAATGTTTTGATAATACGATATTTTTAATAAGTCTTCTTAAGGCACATAAAATTCCGAATAAACCGGCTTCATAAAGTTCAACATCTTAATTTTTGTGGGTTATAGATTATAGGATTAGTTCGAATTAATTTTAAGATTTATTCAAAGAAGACTAAATCAATACTTCCTCAAGAGACCATTAACATTCAAGTTTATAATCAAAATTTTTTTCAGCATTTTCTATTTATTGTTTTCTTTGTTTTGTATATTCCATTTCAATGGGTTCTTAAATAAATTTTATATTTTCCAATTCTGTTAAATCGGTTTCATTTTCATTAGCTTTTTATTTATTAGAATTCAAATTATTTTTTTTGTTTATTATACTTAATTAACTATTATATGTAAATATAGTATCTTATGAATAACTATTTTAATCTTTATTTTAAAAGTTTTTATTATTTAGATGATTAGTATTTATTTAGATAAATTTATTGGTTTAGAATATTAATTCTTTGGCTTTTTACAAATCCCATATTTAAATCGGATAATCATAATTAGACTTACTTGTAACCTTACTCGATTTCTTAAAAAGTTTATTTTTTTTATTAGAAAAGTTATTTTTTAATGAATTATCTTATTTATTTAAATTTTAAATTTCTTATTTTACTAAAACTTAGTTATTACTTTTTGAATTTTAATTTATAAAGTTTATTACTTTTTTAAAACTTAAAAAATCATTATTATTATTTTTATTTTGGTTATTATCAAAGCATTATTTAATAGAATCATCATCAAAATATTAATTTTGAAAATCATTGTTTTTTTTATAAGTTTCTTGCATTTAAATCATTCTAATATTTACTCTTAAAGGAATAACTTTATATTGTTATTTTAAATTGGGTTATTTTTTGGTTTTTTAAATTTTCTTTTTAACCTGCATATAGTAAATAAGAAATCTTATATTTTTGATTTTCTAAAATTATAACTATTTTTAAATTTCCTTTTGTTGATTTTTCTTTTTAGGCAAAACATCATCGTAATAAATGTCTAGATAAAAATCATTTTTAACATGGGCCTTCATAAATAAAGGATTGAATGTATCTGCTTCAAAATCTTCATCGTTTACTATATTTTGATATTAATTGTTTATGTTTTTTGAAATAGTTAATTATCTATTTTATTATCTTTATTATTATGATTATTATAATTTTTATTATTATTGTTATTATTATTATTTTTTTAATTTTTTATTTTTTCTTTATTTTTATAAATTGTCATTATTATTCTCAATTTTTTTTTTATTATTTTTTATTTTATAATTAATTGCATTTTATTCCAATTAAATATCCTCTTTAAAGTCAAAATCTATAAAATATTATTATATTTAATTTTTTTCATTTAATGAAAAAATAGAAACATTATCTTCTTTATTATTTATATATATGTTGCTTTATTATTTTTATATATTTTAATTATTGTTTTAGTTTTAAATATTTTTCATATTTTTATTACTTATTTATTTATTATTATTTAAAGTACAATCTTTTTTTAAAAAACTAAAACTTTAATTTTTTTTTTAATAAATATTGCTTTCTATCTAAATATCAATTTATTGTTTTTAATTATTTTAAGATTTCTAAATTTTATAATCTATATTTTCACTTATTTTTTACAAAAACTCATCAATATTATCATGTTTGTTATTCTCAAATTCAAAATCGGAATAAGATAATTATTTATTATATTTTTAATTATTTTAACCTGCTATTTTACTTTTTTAAAGTTTTCTTTAAGTATTTTTACTACTTATATTTAATATTCCTTCAAAATGCAATCCAGCAGGATTTTTTTAAAAAAATTTTTATTAAATTTTAGTTTATTTATATTGTTATTATCTTTGAAATAAATTTAATACTTTTTAAGGAGATTTTTAATTATAATTTTATTTTTATTATACTTTATTATCACTATCATTAATTAAATTTTATGAATTAATTATATTATTTGAAATGATTAGCAAATTTAAATTTCCTTAGTCTGAATTATGCATAATATTCACTTTACTTTATTATTATTCGCATTATTAAATAGGAACAATTTATGATATCATTTAAGAATTAGCTTACATATTAATTTTAAAACTATTTTAGCATACTTATGGTATTTAAGGGTTATTTAAAATATGGATACTAGACGAAGGATTATTAATCAAAAAATTTAAGTTATCTTGTATATTAATAAAATTATTATTATTATTATTATTATTATTATTATTATTATTAATTATTATTTTTATTTTTATTTTCTATTTTATAAATTTATGCATTATCTTCATTTTATTATATATTTTTATCTTTATTAATTTTTTCATTTTATTAATAATTACCATCTAAAGTATTTTTTTTTTATTTACTTTTACTTTAAAAAGTTGAATATTATAAAAAATCTTTAAATTATTAACTCAAACTTTTTTATTTTCTATTATTTTTCATTTCTTGTTAATATTTAAATCTAACTTTATTTGAAATATAACCACCTCTATTTAAAAAAATATGCAAATCATAACTTTTAATATCCTATTAATCTTCTAATTTATTTTCCACTTTTTTTGATTCTTAATTATATTTAACTGTAATAATTGCTAATGTTAAATTCGTTAAAAAAAACGACCCAATAAAAATCACTAATAGGAAATAAATAATTGCCCATGCAGAGAAAGTTTTCTAAACCCCATTTAATATATCACTCCAACCCTCCATAGTAACAATTTAAAACACAGTCAAAAAAGACCACCCAAAAGTGTCAAAATTTACAATGTCATTACACGGATTACTAATTAATTTTCCGCAAATATATTCTTTGGTATTATCATATTTAACACAGTCATTAGAATGCGCACAAAACGAAAAATTTAAATTTTCATTAATATATAGTTCTATTCCTGTTTCTTTTTCAATGCATCTTTTTTTTAAAATTCCACTAAATAATTATAAGCCACCTATGGCAAATATGATGTAAAAAAAAAGTAAAACAACAATAGAATTCTTTAACAAATTTACAGCAGAAAAAAGACTATTTAATATATTTCTTAAGCTTTTTATAGTAGATATAGTTCTCAAAGGTCTCAAAATTCTCAAAGATCTTAAAGAAGAAAGATTAACACCTTAATTTGACGTTAATATATATGGAATATATCCAGTTCCGACAATAATAAAATCTAAAATATTCCAAATATCCCTCAAATATGCTTCTTTATTAAATAAAAAGCCAGATGCAAGTATTTTAAAAATCATTTCTATGGAATAAAAAATAAGAATAAAATTATCCAAACTTTAATTATTATCATCTTATGAAGTAGGGTCATCTAAAGCTAAAACTACCGAATTGATAATGATTACAAATAATGTTAAATTTTCAAAATATTAACTTTTTACTATTTTATGAGAAATATATGATATTAACCTATAGATATTTATTTTTTTATATATTTTTAAAATATATGTTATTACAATCGAATAAATTATATTTTCTTAAAAGTTATATGAAAAATGCTTGTTTCTGGAAATTATTAAGCTTTTTCAAACTCGTTCATTTATATTACACCTAATGAATATTTAGGTTTAATTCCGTTTTTTTTTTATTATATATTCATCTTCGAAATCTTCTTCTAATTATTTTATATAGTTATTTGTTTTTATGTCTTATAAATAAGTATCCCTGAAATTTTCTTGGCTTTAAATAGATGTTTCTGAAAAGTTGTCTTCATTGATAACATTTTAAACTTGTTATAATATATTAGTTTTCTATGTATATATATATATATATATATATATATATATATATATATATATATATATATATATATTCATAATATTTATTTTTAATATAAAAGAAAAAGAAAAAGTAAAATTTTTGAATATTTTTATTTAATATTTTTTTTTTTTGTTTACTTTTTTTTTTAATAATTAAAAATGATTAATTTCTAATGAATTTTCTAAATTTTTTTCATAATTTTATTCGTATAATCCTTATAAGCTATATGTTAAATTTGAGTTTTGTTCATTTTCCTATTCAGTAATTACATTTTTAAAAATATTTGCAAGATTTTAAAATAATTGATTTTCTTCTGTTTTTTAAGATATATTTATAATTTTTTATTTTTAAATAAAAATATAAAAATATTAAAAAATAAAATAAATATTCTTTAAAAATGCCATATTTTTATATTTATATATATTTTTATTTTGATTTTAAAATTTTTTATTGTTTTTACTTTTAGCATTATTATTCATTCTTAAAATTATGTATATATTTAATTTTAATTTATTATTAAAAATAAATTAATGTTAAATTAAATATTGTTTTTATTTTATATACATATATAAATATTTTATTATATTATTTATTATAAATATATAACATAATTATTACTTATTTACATAAATAATTTTATAATCAAGAATTTTTTTATTATTAATAAATAATTATATTTTAATTTAATTTATTTTTTATATTTTAAATTAAACATGTTATTTTATTTTCTTCATTAAAAAATAATGAAAAAAATATGTAAAAAATGAAAAATTATAATAATAATAATAATTTAATATATATTTCATTTTTTTTTATAATATTATTTTGGAATTTCAATATTAATTTCTATAGACTTTAATTAACTATTTTAGTAATGCTAAATCCACTTTTAAATTATTAAATCTAAAGTTAATTCACACAAAACATCAAACCTTTATTATTAATTATTTGGATTATAAGATAATAATTTTTATTAAAGTTATTAGCAATTACATTTAATATCATTTGCGCTTTAAATTTCAATTAAATTATTATTTTAAATATATTATTAATATTCATCTTCTTGAAATATCTAAAAAGGAATTAAATTACTTTAAATTTAATTAACCATAGAAGCTAATAATTAAAACTGATAATTATATTTATTATGATTTAATAACAAAATATTTAAGGTTTCCGAAATTTATTTTTACAAATTTTTTAAATCATGAAAAATTCCAAAATGATTAAAATAAATAAAAAGCAAATACATAATATTAAATTAAAGGCTTTAATTTTGATTTTTTTTATTTAAATTATCAAAAAACTACTAATGCTTTGAAGCAAAACTTTTAAGTAATTTTTTCGATAAATTTTACAACTAATTATCCTCATCATTCACAAATAAATAAAATAATTAAATTAAAATATTATTATTATATTTTTTCACGTATTTTGATAGTTTCTCAAATAAAATTTTCTTAATAATGTGATCTTTATCTTATATAAAAACAATCAAAATATAAATTATTTAATTCGATAAATTTCCATATAAATAATTTTAATTCTTTTCCAATAATTTAAATAAGATTTTTATTTATTTTATTTTTGTAAAAACATCTAAATTACAAACATATGTATATTTTAATGTATTCATTTAGAATTTTAATAAATCTTAATTCCAATTTTCATTTATAAGGAGTATTTTCATTAATAAATAAATCGACTTTTATTAATAAATTTAATTACTATTTAGTATATTTCCATTAATATTACTTGCTTAATAAAGCACATTTATAAACTAATGCTAAGAAGGAAGTTGATTAAAATTTTATTTATACTTAAAAGCTATATATATTATGTAAATATTTTTATAAAAATGATTAAAAAATATTATATCTTTTTCGAAATTCTAACAAACTTTTTTTAGAAGACTTTCATATATTTTATTAGAACTAAACTTATCTATATTAAAAATAATCTTATATATTTTATGAAAACTTAGTTTTTCCATATTAAGCAACTCAGAAATTATATCTGAAAAAGTTTCCAAATTAAAAAATAATGAATTATTATCAAAATCAACTAAATAGAAAATTCTAATTAAAAATTTGAATATATTTATTTAAGAATTCTTCAAATTAATTTTCCCAGGATGATTCATTTAAATATTGATAATATTTTAAAAGTTTTCAACAAAAAAGCATACCATAGTTTTTTTACAATCCTAAAATATCTCCTAGCCAGAAATTTTTATCAAAAAACTAAAAAAAAAAATTAAAGACTCAAAAATTTTAATTTATCCATCCTTAAAAAATTAGCATGTTTTCTAAAATAATCTAAACATATTTTCATTACTAAAATAAATTTTATAAAAAAAAGCAACTTTGATAAATTATATATAATATTCATTATCGAATATAGCTTCTAATTATTCACAAATTTATTTAAAGTTTTACATTTGAAATACATTTTCTAAATATTTTTTATTCAAATTTATTGTTTTCTAAAGTCCTTCAATAGAAAAGTTTAAATATTATTATTAAAATTTATTTAAATAGTTTTAATCAAAAGAGTTATTATTTATTAAAATATCAAAAACAAATGAACATTCTTTACCTATTTTAATTATTTTCTAAAAGCCATAATTAGTAGTCAAACTTTTATTGTATTTCTATTCTTTCCATTAACCTTCCAATTACTTGAAAACACATTCTTATTAAAAATCAATATTCTAAATAATATCCTCTTAATACATATTATAAATAAACCCAACATCATTCTAAAGCATAATCTAAAAGACCAAATCCGAAACTAAAATAAGATTATTTTTCAAAAAAGTATCTCCTAATAAAAAATCGTAGATATATTAATTAAACTCATGTGCAATATCCATTCTTTAACTATCAAATTATTATAAATTTATTACATTTTCTTGTTCATAAGTCTTACCTACCAAAATCTAATGAACTTCAAAAAGAATATTTTTTAAATAAAATTTTAACTCATTCTCATCATTTTTATTTTCATTTCCTTTCAATATAAATATAAATTCCTCATAAAAAAATTCACTAAATTTTTTCATATTTTGAATACATTTTTCCTTTTTTTTTAATAAAGTATATATTAATTTTAAATTAGTTGATTTTTATTTTTTTCTGTAATTTTATTTTAAATACTAAAAAAAAAAAAAAATTAATTTTATTCTAAACTTTTTTTTTTTTTTGGTCAAATAAGATTAAAAAAAAATAAAAGAAAAAAAAGAATAATAAAAATTATAAGTAGATAAAAGAATATAAAATATAAATATATATAAATTTATAATATATATATAAATATATATATATATATTTACTTTTATTTAATTAATAATTTCTTTTTTCGATGAAATATTTAAATTTTCACTATTTAGTAACTCTAGTAATTACTTTTCTAAACGCAAAGCATAATTTGAAGAAATAAAGTTGTCTTTTTGCATAGTTAAAGCTGCTTATTTTAAATGTGAACAATTTTAATAATTTATAATGTATTTAATTCCAATTTTTATATAAATTTTGAATTAGATTGGATTAAATTTAATATTTTAAATTTAAATATAGTATTATAAATAATCTTTATTTATATAATTTTTATTTTATTTCTTTTTCTAAGCAAATAATCTTCCTATAATCAGCACATAATTTTAATTACTTTAATTTTTTTAAATAAATTCTTGAAAAAAATTACAACTTTCTTAATTCCTTCTTATTATTTAATAAATAAACTCGACAATTTTTAATTCATTTTAATTTAAATTTAATAAATTTAAAGAATGTTTTATTAAGTTTAAACATAATTAATTATTAAAAGAAATTTTCTTGCATATTTATTTGCCAAAAAATATATTTTTTTTATCAGTTTTTTCAAAATTCTACTAAATTAAAATGTAATATTGATTTAATTAACTTTCGTTATTTATTTAAGAAAATACTAAATTTAATTAAAATTATATAACAAATAAAAAATCGCTAATTATTTCTTCATCAATATTTTCTTGTTCTAAACTTTTATAAATATTAATCATTTATTCAAATTCAGTAATATTTACGGATTAAGAATTTTATTATTCTTTTATTTAATTATACAAATTTCTAACTATATTTAAAAATGTATTAATATTTTAGGAAGATTAAAGTTAGTTTTTGGTGTTTGAAGTTTAATAAAATGGCTACTTTATTAAACTCTCATAAAAATCTAAGTTTTTTATTATATTGCTTTTATTAGAATATGCCGAGTTAAACATTTTCTTTTTGTTTTTTTTGTTTTTTTTTAATAATTTTATAATTTTTTTTTTTTTTATTTTTAATAAATTTAAATTGGCGCTTAAATTTAATTTTTTATTAAAAATAGTAATTATGCTTATAAATTTTTTAAAAAAATAAATGGATAATTAATAAAGGTATTCTAAAAATAATACTATTAATTTAAAATAAATACAATATAATCATAATTTTTTTGACAC